AGACCTGGGTTCAGGTTCCAGCACTCACAGCAAAATTAACAAAAACTTATGAATCAAGTTCCACAACCACAATGGATCAAAGACCTCAATGTCTTACTTGAAATGATCAAGCTGTTAGTGGAAAATATGGTCAGTACTCAAAAGGACATACCTTTTGGTATAAACTTTTCAAATAGGACTCCGTTAGATTAGGAGTAAAGAGCAGCAATGAATAAATGGCACCACATAGAATACTCAGTACAGCAAGACACAAAGGACTGATTGAAGAGGAAGCACAAAGAGGAGAGAAAACCTTTGTCAACAAGACATTGAATCTGATAGAGAATTACATACATGAAAACACTGTGTTGCAAGAAATGATTTCTGACTACCCTCTTACTAATTATCCTGTATAATATAATTTTCATAGCCCTGTCTCTCCTGGACCTCACTATATAGATCAGATTGGCCTGGAATTCATGGAGTAAATTCTGCCCTCTTGTCAGCTAGGATTAAGACCTATCTTTGAGGACAGCAAGATGGTCCAGTGTGTAAAGTGCTTCTTAAAAAGCTTGACCACCTCAGTTTGGTTCCAGGACTCATGTAGCTTTTGAAAGAAAAACTAATTCCACAAGGTTTCCTCTGTCATCCATATTCATGTTGTAACATGTGCATACCCACACTTGGACTGACCTACACCACACACACACACAATACACACAAATAATTTTTTCTTGGAAAGGGCAAATATGTATTTTTACCAAATTGTTGAGAAGTACATACTTTGCTGTATAGAATCAGGTCATCATGACAAAAAGTAAAGTCATCATGAGGAGGTAATCTCTATTTTAAAGAAATTCCCCCATGCTCAGGCTGTAAACAATAGCCTAACTATGATAAGTTTGCACATGAATAGGGTGCTAATGCTGTGACAGACCAGACCTTGTTGTTTTTGGGAGTTTGTAGAAGGACTTTGGAACTTTGGCTATAAAAGACTTTACTCAGTGAACTGTTCTGTTGGAATTTAGGGAGATAAGAATATTGAGAATACTGAATACAATGAAGTCCTGGCTTGTGAAGTTTCAGAGGGAATCAAAGGCCATTTGCATTAAGATTTAGTAGTTCTAAGCCATTCAGCAGTGGCACACACCTTTAATCCCAGCACTTGGGAGACAGAGCCAGGCAAATCTCCGTGAGTCTGAGGCCAGCCTGGTCTAGAAAGCAAGATCCAGGATAGGCATCAAAACTACACAGAGAAACCCTGTCTCAAAAAACAACAACAACAACAAAAAAGAACCAGTGTGATTAACAAGATATCCAAACTACAAAAGTAAATCTTTTGCTTTGCTGGATAATGGATGCTGGCCACCTGGGGCTAAACAAACAAGCAGTTTTAATGAATGAGTGATCTGAGGCACCATGGAGGTGAAGACTTCTGAGAAGTGTTTCCTCCTGGTCAGCAGACAGAACTGTCCTCTAGAAATAGACAAGTTTGAACCTCCTGTTGGCTATTGAATTTACTAATTTAAGAGTTACCCAAATGGCACTGGTTTTGAAGGCCTGGAGGAGCCATGGAGAGCAGCTGAGGCTTGGCACTGTATGGTAGTGTTGGAGGCCTTGAAAAAAGCCCAGTTTTATAGCAATGAACATGTGTTACCAGGCCAGTCATCATTGTAGCTTGAAAAGTCCGTGGCTGTGTTAGAGTGACGATTGCTTTTCTCCTCTGGTTGCACACCTGGCATTTCTTAGGACTGCAATGATCAGCCAGTAAGGACAAAGGTTCCGTTAGATACCAGATTGTTTCTCCATGATCTCTGACTCAAGTATGTGGTATGTTAAGCACTATAGTCTGAAATCAATATTAAAGGATATTCTTAAACAATAAAAAGCAATCTGCGGTTCTTTGGAAATTCATTTGCTGACAACAACAAAAAGGTTCACCATTCCTTGAACAGACTCTATTTGCTCTGCTGTGGTATCTAAATAGGGTTTGGGGACCCATTTTGAGGAAACTACATTTAAACTATTGTCTTTTTTATTCAATATTTTTCTTTTAAATTTAATTTTTACTTTTCAGTACACCCCTATTGCAATTTCTCCTCCATCCACAACTCGCAGGCTCCCCGCAATTTGCCCATATCCACTCCTCCTTTGTTTCACTTCAGAAAAGAGCAGGCCTCACAGGTACATCGAGAAAATGCTGAACTACAAGATACAGTAAGACTAGGCACAAACCATCAACCATCAGATCAAGGTTCTTTGAGGACACTCAGTAGGACCAACATAGTAAAAATGGTCATCCTACCAAAAGCAATCTAAAGATTCACTGCATTTCCAATCAAAATTTCAACACAATTCTTTACAGACATTAAAAGGAAAATACTTAATTTCAATGAAAAAAAAGGAGGGTACTTGAAACAATGCTAAACAATAAAAGAACTACTGTAGGTATCACTATACCTGATTTCAGGCTGTGCTACAGAGTTATAGTAATAAAAACTGCATGGTATTGTCATAAAAACAGACATGTTGATCCACTTAAACTCTTTACATTTATGTGTGTGTGTATATATATATATATATACATATGTATGTATATATATATATATATATATATTTACACACAAATATATATATGGAACCTCTGTAAGAGTAGTTTTTTTTTTTTACAGATTTTTCAAAAGGTCTTTATCACTATTTATCCCCCCATATATTTCCTCCTGTAATATATTCCCCCATCCTCCACCACATGTAATAATTTCTTATCCATGATTTTTCTTTCACTATTCTGATCCCTATGTTCTTTCTCCCCTCCCTTGGAAGTTATCCATGGTCCATTATTTAAGATCTATCTTTATATACCACAGACTTTGAAGGACTCATCTTTATTAATCGTTTTCCTGATTTCATTGGATGTAGCTTTACCATGCTTTCTTCAGAAACTTTGTTCTCAAATACAATGAAATTAAAGTATCTTTATTATTTCCTTGGTTAGAGCTGACATTTATAGGGCAAAACCTTTATATATCGTTGATCTTTCACAAAGCTCATGATATTTCAAGTTAGCTTTCTCTGCTTCCTCTCTGCGGTTAGAGATATAACTTGCTGATCTAGCCACCTGCCATTCCCACTCATGAAATGGAAAATTCAGAAATTATATTTTGAATCTATTATTTCAATTTTATTTAGTATTTATTTACTTTTGTTTTTGTTGAGACAGGGTCTCAATATGTAAACCTAGATGGCCTGGAGTATACTATGTAGACATGGCTGGAGTTAACCTCAAAATGAACTATCTGCCTCCACCTCTAAAGTGTTAGAATTAAATGCATGTGCCACCATGCCTGGAATTCGATAAGAAAATTTTAATTGCTAAAGTAATTCATGATAAAAGCGAAAAGCACATTTAAAATGAGGGGAAAAAAATTCTGGGCCCATTGGCGCACACATGTAGTTCTATCATTAAAGAGATAGAAGCCAAAGGATTACTATAAGTTTGAAGACACCCCAATTTACAGAATAAGACACTTTATGTCTGTTTGGAGTAGCCAACATTACTGATAAAAATATAAATTTCCTTTCAAAGTCACATTTTTATTTTACAAATTTTTCTCTTCCATGATTTCATATTGTACAGTGCAGATTTTCCAATTTCAAAATTTGGAAAATTTTGCATTTCCTTATAAATTACTTTTTCCCTTTTTTTTTTTATTTTGCAATACAATTCAGTTCTACATATTAGCCACGGATTCCCTTGTTCTCCCCACTCCTGCCCCCTTCACCTTCCCCCCAGCCCACCCCCCTTTCCCATCTCCTCCAGGGCAAAGCCTTCCCCACAGACTGAGGTCAACCTGGTAGACTCAGTCCAGGTAGGTCCAGTCCCCTCCTCCCAGGGCGGGCCAAGTGATCCTGCATAGGCCCCAGTGAACTGGAAATTTTATGTGGATCATGTGGTGTCCATAGATCGCTTTTATTAGGATGACCAGTTTCACAATATTAACCCTACAATAATGATCACAGAAGGTCTTTGCAAGTTATTGTAACACCTTCAGTTTCTTATTTTCACTTTCTTACTGCTTTCATTGTAAAAGTTTCACTTTTTGGTGACATTTTTCCTAATTCATTACACTTTGAGGTTATTTGGAATAGCATGGTTTTCTTGATTTTATTCTCAGTATGTGCAGTATTTTTAGGTAGGCTGCTGATTTGGAGGCTCAGATTAAAACCTGTTACTTTGCTAAATGTATTTATCAGCGATTGGAGTTTTCTGGGCAAAATATATTGTTTTATAGAAACATATTATTACAAATGAAAATATTTTCACCTCTTGGTTCCTTTCTTGTATCTTCACTTGTCTTACTCTTCTAATTAAGACTTCTAGTACTATATTGAACAGAAGAAGAAAGCATGGTCATCCTTGTGAGGTTCCTGATTTTAGAAGGAATGATTTGAATGCTAACAATATGTTAGTTGTGTGTTTTCTTTTTATTGGCTTTATTTTGCAGAAATATGTCCCTTTCATTCTTAGACTCTCTGAGATTTTTATCATAAAGTGACGATCAATATTGTCAAGACCCTTTCTGTATCTAAATTACTTTTTCCCATGTAGTCTATAATCATGTATTATTAGGTCAATATCATGTTACATTTATTTTTTTAAAAATGGAATGTATGCATATTTAAAATTCAGGAGTTTATCTAGATTTTTGTTTGTTTGTTTGCATTTTCAGTAGGGATCTAAATTACAGCCATTCCTAAGCAGATGTAAAGTGGGACATAAATTAGGATTATGTAGTCCATATTGCCCACAAAAACATCTTGAATTTGATCCTGATCAGTTTATACAGGTGTTTATGAAGACCCTCCTTTTCCATACTAGCACAAGGAAAGCTTAAAGGTCATGGATGCCTGTCTTATGTCATTAGGTTCAGAAAAGATTATTGAGACCCTGCAGCCTGGCAAACATGCACGCATGCGTGATTGCAGGGAACTGCTGGCAGACTAGCACAGGCTGGGGGTTGGGAATGTGATGAGACAAGTCAGTGCAACAGCAGGTCCTGCTCAGAGGAGAGGGAGTCAAAGATGCCTGTCACATCCACCTGAGGAATGGTCAGCAAGACAATGCAGCAGCTAAGGTCAGCTCCCTCTGGGCCCTGTTGTGTGTTTCATAGAGAGACATCATCTTTGCCCATTAATTATTGCAAATCTGTATGGATTAGAACATTTTTATATAGATCTATAGTCTTTGGCTCTGAGGAATCAGATCAGAAAGCTATCAGATCAAGACAATACTTCTTCTGTTCTACCATATTTTGTCCTGGCCACACAGTGCCCCTCCCATTCATTGCTCCCTCAATCTGTCCTGTCACTTTATCTCTGTACTCTTCCAGGGTGAACATTAACACTTCAAAGCCTAGTCAGTATTGTGGATTATTGGTGTGTGGGAGTACGGGTTTTTTACAAAACAGAAATGAGTATTTGTTCTGTTATATGGATGTTGCACAATGTCAGCATTCTGAAGAGCAATTACATTTGCTGTCTGCCATGTAATGAAGGATGTAAGGGATGAAAGTACTTAGAATCAGCATACACATTATCAGCACAGGGGCGACACCACACACCATGGTGGTTTTCACCTGCAAGTTTCTGAATGGTTAGAAGGATCAAATAAGTATGATTTCTGATGATAGGATAGTTATAATAAAGAAAAAGGATTTCCAAAAAACTGACTATAGAGTGGTAGACAAAGCAAATTGTGGTGTGTGTGTGTGAATGTGTGTGTGTGTCTGCCTGTCTCTCTGTCTCTGTCTGTCTCTCTGTCTGCCTCTCTGTCTCTGTATGTCTGTTTGTCTGTGTGTTATACTTGAGGATCACAAGTGAGGAGTGGGCATGTCAGCAGAATGGCCAGTGTGTGGAAAGGCAGAGTGTCTTTTGCATAAAGAGCTACAATCTACAGGGGTACAAAGTAATACTTTTCTATGATCTTATTAGGTGATCTGCTTTAAACATTGTGAACATGCTTCGGTGTTATGTATTTCTGGTTGATTAGTATATTTATTTTTGAAATGTTGTCCTTATATGATAATAGGCTGATGGTTTGTGAAATATGTAGTTTTGATATTTCATCTATTTTATGTTTATAAGATATGCAAATGGTATGGCGAAATTGTCTTTAGGTACCCTCTGACCGAGAAATCCACCTGGGTGTGTCCCTTTTCTGTTTGTTTTTGTTGGGTTTGGGATATTTTTTGTAATTATATTTTGTTTTTCATTTCAAAATAGTGTTGGTATTTATTTTTTCCTTTATTGATAATGGATCCTTTTCTAATATAATATATCATGATAACATTTTTCCTTCCGTTTACTCCTCCCAGTTCTTTCCCACCTCCCCATGTCTGGGTCCATGTTCATGCTGTAATTGGAGTCTGTGTTGATATCCATAGCCTCAATTACCACAGGAGGTCATAGGAACTATAGATGTTGAAATCTGAGGGCTGTGCTGAGACAGCCCTACTATTCAATGGCCCTGAGATGGCCAGCTTTGCAACTGACTATGCTCTGCAGCAGAAGAGCTGGTTCCATCCCTCATAGGAAAGCCTGAACCAACACTCAGGAGATATGCTCTCACTCCTCACCATTGGCATGTGAGACCTGGCTCCACCACTCACCTGAGGGGGGCAGTCCCAGTGGCAGCTTAAATACCACCCAGGCCTTGAGCTGTCCCACCCTAACATCTACCCCATCCATATCCCAGGCCTTGGGTTGGCCTACCCTAACATCTACCTCATCTATGACCTGATGGAGCATGTGAAGGGACTGGTCCTACAGAATGATAGCCGCAGAGTCTCCATGGCACTGCAACAGCATTCCCAAGAGGAGTTTTGGTGAGGGTCCAGTGATGATTGTGTGCCAGAGGCGAGAAGCCTTGAAGCAGACCAATGAATCATTGCAATGAAAAAGGGTATATTGTGTGACACACCACAGCTACCAATGTCACTCAGATGAATGAAGAGGTGCTGGAGAGACAGGAAATATGGAGGAGGTGGTGGGTTATTTTTTCTTTATTTAGTTTAGTTTTTAATGAATTATGGGGGATCTTTTGGGGAACATGCTGCAAGGATGAGGCACAGGTATGTAGGGACTGGGAAGTAAGTGGGATTGGGGTGTATGTTGTGAAATTCCCAAAGAATCAAGAATTTTGTTATATTTTTAAAAAAGAAAAAAATCATTATCTTTTCTCTTCACATAGCCTTAATAGAATTTTCTAGCACTCTGAAGGCTAGCCACCAAAGACTGTTTCCTGCTTAATTCAAGATTGATTTCTCCATGCCCAGTAAATAAAATGTGTTATGTATTCAACAACATGGACTTACTATGAAATTTTGAGGGGAAACCAAGAACATTTGCAATAATCAGTATAGTTTTAAATGTTTTCTGAACTTCTTGACCAATAACTCCTGGGAAAGTAGCCCTTGTTCTCACTAAGATTTTGATTTAATACCTCATGTCTTCTGGGAGTAACATTTTCACTAATGGTAGGTATTTCTGTTTAAACCCCATTAGTATATTAATATATATTAATATATATATATATATATATATTAGAGTTTCATAAGGATTCTTCATACATTCTTAGTTTCAATGAACTGTCAACTAGCTTTCAGCAAACCACATGGCCCCCATTCCTGCTTTAATATTTAGCTTCCAGTATTCCTTTTATATTCTTTTATGTCATGTATGGTCTAATAGCCTCACTATTGTTTGAACTAGTATATAAACATGTATATAATTTCTCCTCATGGGCCCTCTTCATGGACACTTCATTTCAATTAAACATTGCTGTGGTTCCTCATTTTCCATACCCGATCACACCACTATGCACATAACCCTTCTGCCTCAGAAATTCCCTTTTTAATTAATTTCTCAAGTATTATACTTCTCCTCCTCTGGAAATGCATCCCTCTCTGACAACGACCAACGTATAGTTTCCTATTTTTCATTTGAGTTCCATATGAGCACACATAACAAAAGACATTAAGAAGGACCCTGTTGTGAGATAAAACTTGGAGCATTATTCTTATGAGGTTTGGGTTCCAACACTAACTGTCTTTGTTTCTTTTCACTTCCATCCATTCACCTGCAAATTTCATGATTTTTATTATTTTTTGGCTACTGAACATTATTTCATTGTGTATGTACACCACATATCGTTCTAAAATTAATGTATGAAAAGTAATACTTGGAGAGAGAAGACAGAAAAAGAGATCTTAATTTCAGATACAACTTATGCATATGTGTTGGAACTATACTGTGATCATACCTGTGCATGATGAATTGTCATCTAGGCAGCATAGTGAGCATTTATATTTTCTGAAATATTTGTAATATCTTTGTGTTGTTGAACCTCAATTAGCCCCAGTCACAATACCTGGTGTATGACACTGAAATCTCAAATCTTGTAACACAATCAGGAAGAAGAGAGAATAGATGATAAACAGTAAACATTGAGAAGAAATAAGGCTGAATGAGACATTTCAACTTAAAACCCACCACCTGTGATGTACTTCCTCTAGTAAGGCTGCACCACCTAAACTTCACCAAACAGATCCACCACTTGGGAACCAAGTATTCAAACACCAGGATCTGAGGGAAATATTTCTTATACAAACTTTCTCAACTCCACCCTATCCTGTTACACCTGTCAATCCAGTTCAACCCCTCTAATAGGCTCCAGGCAAAATATCATCATCCTTGCCTTTCCATGGACGAAACTAGCAGCTAAAAAGGCCTAGGACTGGGCAAATAATATCTGCCTTCAGCTTGACTTCTTACAGGAGATAAAGGAACACTGAACATTCTATGGGAGATAATTGCCTACCCATGGAAAAACTTAAGTTTTAAAGAAAAATTTTCAACAAATAATGTTCTCATTATGTAGTCATGACTGATCTGGGCTCAGTATAGAGAACTAACTGGTCTTCACTTCATAGAGACTCTCCTCTGTCTTCCCTATGTTGGGACTGAAACCATATGCCCCCACACTGAACCTCAAACTTTACCTTTATCATCTGCATTACTTAGCATTTATGTCTTCTATAAAATGCTGCTTAAGCTTAAATGTTTTCCAGAAGCTTAGTAGTACAGAATTTGGCTCTTTCATAACATTTTCCTAGGCACTCAATGTTCAGTACAAATCTCACATTTATCTGTGCGTGAACCCAGAGAGACACTTTGTCTGCTTGAGCCAGTCCCTGGTGCCATATTGGTTGATTCGTCACATTATGAACTGAATTCCCATGCTAGTCTAAACGCTTTGAACATGATCATATGTATCTACAGTCCACTCAATAATACTTGTTCTTCCTCCATTGTCTTAGATTCCCTAATATTCATAGGGACATCTAATACCACCTTCCATATGCTCAGTTACTGCAGGAAGACTTGTTCTTCTGTTGCATTCCACTAACTGATACTCTTGAGTGTAGTGATATTGTGTTCCCCAATATATTGTCCATCCTAATAAACTTATCTGAAGTCAGAGAACAGAACAGACACCAGAAAATGATGGCACTCACACCTTAGTCCTAGCATTCCAGAGGCTGAGATCCATCTGGATCTCTGTGAGTTCAAAGCCACACTGGAAACAGCCAGGCATGGTGACTCATGCCTTTAATCCAAGGAAGTGATGGCAGAAAACAGAAAGGTATATAAGTTGTGAGGACCAGGAATGAGGCTGCTTAAGCTTTTAGGCTTTGAGCAACAGTTCAGCTGAGATCTGTTTGGATGAGGACTCAGAGGCTTCCAGTCTGAGGAAACAGGATCAGCTGAGCAATTGGTGATATGAGGAAGCTGTGGCTTGTTCTGCTTCTCTGATCCTTTAGCGTTCACCTCAATACCTTTGTTTTTATTAATAGGAACTTTTAAGATTTGTGCAACACATGGGGACTTTGTATTGCAATCACTAAATATATCTAATATTTCCTATGATGGAGCAACTTATTTAACATTAGTTGTATAGCTTTTATGTCAAAGAGGGATACTGTAGATGTAAACAACCGTCTTATTAAATAAGAAACACAGAGCCAATACAAGAAGAAAGCCGAGAGTTTAGAGCTAAGAGCCTTGCCTGTGTGCT